GGGTGGGCTGGGATCGAACTCATGCAGAAGTGGCATTAGCTTCTTTGTGCTGCGCTTTAACCCGCTGCGCCACCAGGGAGGGCGCAAAAATACACATTTTTAAAAAGGACTCTTGAGGGTCCTCGCTGGTGGCACAAGTTAAAGCACAGCACTGCAAAGCTGGCTGCAGCAGCTTCACCTGAGTTCCATCCCCAGCCAGGGAGTGACCCACAGGGCGCAGCACCCTCTTCTGTCTCCCCTCAGCAGTGCACTTCTCCATCTGCCTGTTCTGCTCCTCACTCTGTCTCTGGTGGATCCCCTCACACGCTGCACCTCTGGCCTGTACCTCAGTTCCATATGCATAAATTAATCTTAAAAAAAAATAAGGATTCTTGACCTTGAAAAAGCAATGGAATTGGATTTACTGTTCTCTATGCCAACTCCCTGCCAATCTTGATGTCGAGTTCCTGAAAAGGAGCCCAAGGATCCCAGACACTGGGGCAGAGCGGCTTGCTCCTGGCAGCCGCGGACCGTTGTCCTTTCCCACCCTGCGCACGCACTGGTCTTGGCCTGCAGCTTTCGGATTGTGTGTGTGCAGTGCGCATGTGCGGCAGAGGATAGGTCTTGCTGTATGCAGAGATTTCAAAGCTCAAAACCTGGGTGAAATTCAGGTCCCTCAGTTCTGTTGCAGGCTGTCCAGGGCGAGGCGGAAATTTGCCAAGTCCTCTGGCACCAGAGGCAGAGACAACACAGTCTACATCAAAAAGAAGAAAAAGCACTTTTCAAAATTAGGAAATTTGAAAGCGTTGTACATCACAGGCTAAGTCCAGGCTGCTTGACCTTGACACCAGGGACGTTTTGAGCCCCAGGGAGCGCCGGGAGGTTGAGCAGTAGCTGCGCTCTGCCGCCACTAGATGGCAGCACAGCGCCAGGCGAGACAAGCGCTGCGGTCCCGCGCCTGACGCCTCTGGGACCCGCTGCTGCGCCTAGCAGGGGCGAAAGGGCTTCGGTGGTCTCAGCAAGGTCACAGTTGCGGGCCTCTGAGCACAGCAGCCTGAGGGGCGCAAGGACGGCCCTGAGACACTGGGTGAGAGGGCCCTAGGAAGCAAGAGAGCAGTGCTCCCCAGGGCCCTTGGTGGTGAGGAGAGCTAGGCTGCGGGTCTGTGCACTCTCTGGGGCTTGGCTGCACAGTCCGAGTCTCCAGCCAGGGACAGCGCCCTTCGAGCGCCTAGGCGCCTCTGCTTCTGCAGCCTGCCAGTTTTCTCCCAGAACCAGGGCATGGAGGGAGGAAAAACCGCCTCCACTGCCTGCTTGGCGTTCTCCTGGTTCCTTATCCAGCCTGCCCAAAACTCCGTGTGAAATTTTACCTAAAAATTGGGGGGCCAAAAAAAAAATTGGGAGGTCCTCCCCGGAGCTGACCCACAGGCCACAGCAGACCTCGCTTGTCTCCCCTTTGCTGCCCTCAGCAGTGTACTTTGTGGATCTGCCTGTTCTGCTCCCCACTCTGTCTCCCTCTCACCCCTGCACCTCCAGTTCTGTATGCATAAATAAATACAATATATATTTTTTTTCATTTTAAATAAAGTAAAAATTTGGGCCCTTGCGAAGCACTGTGAAGCAGCCCACAGCCACTGCAGTTCGTACATGCATAAATACATACGTCTTTAAAAAATTAAAAGA